AAAAACAACAACTTTTCGAAACCTTGCGCATGCCAACTACGACTTTTGACACTTTCAAGAACACACCCCCAGCAATTTCTAAATCTTCAAGAATGCTTCTTTAGAGAAATGGTTGCACGTTTTTGCAAGTTTTTGCAAGTTTTTGCAAGTTCTTGCAAGGTTTCGTTTCATTTATTTTTTCATTTCGTGCTTTTTTTTTTGTTTTTTTGGTTTATTTTTAAAATTTTTTTATTAATTTATTTTATTTCGACATTTTGCAAGAAAAACAACAACTTTTCGAAACCTTGCGCATGCCAACTACGACTTCTAACACTTTCAAGAACACACCCCAGCAATTTTTAAATTTTTAAAATCGCTTCTTTAAAGAAATGTGCGCAAGTTTTCGCAAGTTTTTGCTAGTTTTTGCAAGTTCTTGCAAGTTTTCGCTTTATTTTTTTTTGTTTCGTGTTTTTTGTTTTTGTTTTTTTTGGTTTATTTTTAAATTTTTTTTATTAATTTATTTTATTTCGGCACTTTGCAAGAAAAACAACAACTTTTCGAAACCTTGTGCATGCCAACTACGACTTCTGACACTTTCAAAAATGATAGAAAACAAAGAAGCGAAGATAATAGCTAACTGTGGGATAAGCGAAATAAGTATATAGAGCTAGTTTTTTGTATATAGTTGTAACGATCTTTGTTACAATAGAGATTTCACGATATTTTTAAGAAAAAAATCATATGTTCGATTGGACTTTCAACCAATATCGACCACTTAGATGCTTTTACTTTATGCAAAAATGCGGTCTATATTTATTGTGGTTAATAAATACTTAGTTGTTATGACTTCTAATTACAAGAATGTTTTTATATTTGTGTACGAAGCTATTCTATACTATTTTCATTTGTTCTATCTTTCTTTATATACTATTATGACCACATAATTATCTAACGATTACTACATGTTTCACTTGCATAATTTGTGACTACATAATTACTCGTACTGTTCTATTGTATAACGATACGTTACCTAGTATGACTAATGCTATATCGTATTACGATACCTCACTATTATATGAGTTCGAATTCAAACGAACTTCCGATATGGCTTCCGATCTGATTATGTTTATGCATGACATCGTAGCTGTTACACAATCATGTTTTATAGCTTTTACTTCTGTGCTACTTATACTATTACACTATTCCCTACATAAGCGAAAAGCTTCTTTTTTGACATCACTAATAGCCTCTTTGCAATTTTTAAGATTTGTTAATGGTTCCCATGTTGCATCATATAAGGGTACCCTTTCCACTTTACTAAATACTGGACCTGCTGGTAGTATTGTTATAGAATAGTTTGTTAATTTTGGTAGAAATTAGTTGAAAAATTAGAACTTAATTAGGAAATTCTGTAATAACTGTATTTAGTAATAGTAATATACAAAATTGATGCATAATGACGCTCAATGACGCTTAGTGACGTTTAATGACACTTAGTGATGCTTAATGACGCTTAGTGTCGCTTAATAATGCTTAGTGACGCTTAACGATGCTTAGTGACGCTTAGTGACGCTTAGCTCAATAGATATATAAACTCACTTTATTTCCTTTAGTTTAGACAGATCCAGACATTGTATTTTATCTTTACCTTTATATTAATTACCCTCCTCTATTATTATTAATAAACTCTTGGGATTTCTAAGAAACAGACACCTTGAAATAGCCCTCTTGATAAATTAATAAACTGTCTATTATCTCTTGTTGTTAAATACCGAACTGCCTTAGAGAAGTGTATAGTTTCTTACAGATATAAAGGAAACTATCCTTCCCTCTTGCACACCGCTTCACGCCTAACGTAAGGGATCTCAGGAGCCATGTAATTGTTACTTTATCGGAATTAAAGAACTGTAACAGTATCTTCTTTTGTCCAGTATTGTTTCAACCTCATGTTCTTCTTCTATTGCCAGGAGGTAGTGGTGATAATTGTCTTTCTTCGAAGTCATTGTTGTGGTATTTTTTTAGTAGGGATATGTGAAAAACTGGGTGAATCTTCATTGTATGCGGCAATTTTAGTTGGTACGCGATAGGTGCTATTACTTTAATAATTTCAAAGGGTCCAACGAATTTAGGTGCAAGCTTCTGCGAGGGGTGTTTAGAACTTTTAGAAGTTATAATATTTGTTGTATTTAGCATTACTAGTTCTCTAATGGAGTATTCAACAAATCTTCGTTTCTTATTTGCATATGTTACTTGTCTTTCTTGGGCGCTAACTAAATGATCTTTTGCTATTTTCATCATAGTCATCCAATATTGAGTTAATTATTCAGCAGCTTTAACTTTTGTTGGTCTTATATTTCCAACCAACATACTGCTAGGTGTCGTGGAGTGTCAACCATTATCCAACTGAAATAGCGTAAAGCCTGTTTGTTAATACTTGTTGGGTATTATTATAAGCAAATTTGGCTATAACAAGAAGTTGCTCCCAATTGTCTTGCTTATAATTGACGTATGCCCGTAAAACTTCTTCCAGTATTCTGTTGGTTCTTTCAGTTTGACCATCTGTTTGTGAGTGTGCTGCTGTCGACATTTTTAATTCAGTTCCTAACAATTTAAAAATTTTTTTCCAAAATCTACTTGTAAATTTTGGGTCTCAATCTGAGACAATATTCTTTGGTAAGCTGTAGTGTTTAAATATTTCTTGGAAGAATATCTGTACAATCTCTACTGCTAATGCGGTGGTCCTAGTAGGTAGAAATCTGGCTCTTTTACTTAATTTGTCTACCACTACTAATATCAAGTCATTTTCTTTTTTTGTAATCGGTAGGTGAGTAATAAAATCCATAGATATTGTTTCCCAAGGTCGAGTTGGAATGTCTAATGGTTGTAATAAACCTGCGGAAGCCTGTGTAGAACCTTTATTTCTTTGGCAACTATCGCAAGTTTGTACGTACTTTTTTACGTCCTTGCTTATGCCTTTCCAATAATAGTTTCTACTTAGTGCTTTGTAAGTTTTCTCTACGCCAAAGTGTCCATAGGTATCATGATGTTCTTTTAGCAAAACTACTTTGGTTCTTGATTTTTTTATTAGACATAATCGCGGAATATCAGGGTCTCCTAAAAAAAATAACAATCCATGTTGTAACTCGTATCAGCGTAACAATTTTTCTAATCGCTTAGCTTCGAGTCCTGTAGGATTTTCAAGTGCTCCGATTATTCTTGATAGGTAAGTATCTGTTTTGTATTCTTCTTTAATTTGTTCATATACATCATGAGCCAATTTTAACGATATCAATACATTTGCATCTGGTATTCTCGAGAGAGCATCTGCCACCATATTTGTTTTTCCTAGATGATACTTAATTGTAAAATTATATTCTTGCAAGGTTTCTAACCACATTGTTTGTCTTTGTGACAATTTAGCTTGTGTCTGCAAATATTTCAATGATGCATGGTCAGTTATTACACAAAATGGTTGACCTTCCAAGTATACATGCCAGATTTTTAGTACATGTATAATAGCTAGTAATTCTTTTTTATGTATAGGGTAATTTAATTCAGCTAGGGTTAATTTCCTTGATTCGAATGCTATGGGTTGTTCACCTGTCCCTTGGTCTTGGGATAACACAGCGCCGATTGCTATATCAGACGCGTCAGTCGTTACTACAAACGATTTCTCTGGATCCGGAATTATTAACACAGATGATAAGGTTAACTTTTCTTTAAGTTCCTCGAACGCCTTATTCTGCATTTCTTTCCATTCGAATTCTTGATCTTTTTTTAAAAGTTTTGTTAAAGGAGCTGTGATCTCAGAGAAATTTGCAACAAACTTCCAGTAGTAACTTGCAAGTCCCAAGAATGATCTTACTTCATTTACATTGGTAAGCGTTGGCTATTCTTTTATTGCTTTTATCTTCTTGGGGTCAACGTTTATACCTTTGTCTGATATAACATGGCCTAAGTATTCAATTTCTTGCTTACTCCAGTCACACTTGACTAGTTTTCCAAACAATTTATGTTCTCGTAATATTTCAAAAACTTGTTTAACGTGTTAATAATGTTGTTCTTTCGTCTTGCTATAGACTAATATATTGTTTTTTTTTAAATGTTAAGGTGAGACCTTGCTTTTATCTTTATTAAATTTAATAGAAGACTAATATATTGTCTAAGCACACTATAACACTTTTATCTAATAGATCCTTAAATATATCGTTCATTAATTTCATGAAAGACACAGGCGCATTCGTTAGGCCAAACGGCATAACCAAAAATTTGAAATGCCCGTATCTAATGTGGAAAGCTGTCTTTTGGACATCTTCTTCCTTAACCCTTATTTGGTGGTATCCGGAATATAAGTCAATTTTACTAAAGTACTTTGCTCCATGCAATTGATCCATCAACTCATCGATATGTGGTAATGAGTATCGGTTTTTTATTGTAATTTTGTTCAATGCTCTATAATCAATACACATTC